GCTGATATGAGGAAAAACTGGGTTTCGAAGACTGCCTTGGTGATATATTGTGACATAACTTTCCATTTAACAGGAAAAGTTGGTTGGAAGGAATTGGTGTGGTGGTCTTACCGGAAACCAAAGGGGGATTGCCGCGTAGAGAAGACTGTTGAATTGTGCGAAGAAGTCCTTAGCTCACTGCCCTGCGACCCCGATGAACATGTGCTAAGCTTTTGTTTATACTGTCACAGACTTCATCAGAGCAAGAATACACACGTTACGAAATATAGCAAAAATAGACTAAACCAAAAGAAAAAGTGGACGTTCAAAGTAACTTCACACATCTGCAAGCATCTCGAGTAAGTTTGAGGTAGTCAACCAAATCAAGTGAGACCTCATTAAGATCGCAAGTTTAGGCGTATAACAAAGTGACTAGGCTTGCAGCCGGCCACCTCTTTTTTTACTATATTTTTGCTCTATTTCGCAAAGTCTGTACTCTTTCTCTGACGGTGTCTGTCTAGACAGGACAGACTGAAGCTTAGCACAGGTTCATCGGAGTCGCAGGACGGTGAACCGAAGACTTCTTCGCACAATCCAACAGTTTTCACTCAACGTCAGTCAATACTTCTTCGGTTTCTAGTGCGGCCAAATGGAAAGTCATTTTACAACATGTTGGAGTACCTTTCATTTGGTTTGAAGGGGTGAGTGGAAGGGATTCGTAAGTTGGTTCCACCGGAAGTTGTGGTGGTATTGCCTTGGAACTGTGACTGCAGACTTGTGAGAATAGATCCTCGGCTCACCGCCCTGGGATCCCGATGATTCATTGCTGAGTTTTCGTCTGTCATGTCATATACATCGTCAGAATAGGATACCATATTTAACGATAATTCACCAACAAATATGAAGACTAGAAAGGTGGTTGTACTTTTTTGTTTTTTGAGGTATTATCGTTAAGCATGGCATCCTGCTCTGACGATTTCCGTGACATGACGAACGAAAACTCAGCAATGATTCATCGGGTTTGCAGGGCGGTGTGCCGAGGACTTATTTGCACAAATCTAAAATCACAACTCCGAGGCATTCCGCCCACTTTTTTCGGTGAAACCAACTTACGAATCTCTTTCACTCATCTCTCCAAACGAAACTCAAGCATAATTCTATTAAGGGATTCTTCTAAACCCAGTTTTTCTACATTTCACAACATGTTTACGGAATTGGCAAAAGTGTGAATGGACTTCGAATACCTCACCCACCCTGCGATGCACTGGCAGAATGGGGTGATAACCGTCGGTCTATGGTACTCGTGATCCGGTATCCAATCTGGCTGAGGGTGATGATGATACCAGTTAAAGTGAGGTTACAATTGCAATTACAACTGGATCAGGCAAGGCTGAGTGAAATCTGCTGGCATTGCGAGGTCTACTCATGGGATTATTGGAAGAAATCAACTATTAATCCTTAATTCATCATATGCGACTAAACGTTTGGCGATTTATCCTCTTCTGTAGATTTGGCTGATGCATTGTCATTGGCAGAGCCGTCTCTTCGTGGCTCTCCGTCGTGGCATCTGCTCCGTCGTTGGCCATACTGAGCCCAACATGTGGTTGTGTCAGCATTTGATACGTCTGGCGCATCGGTTGTAACGAGCACACTCAATCCCCTTTTGCCCGTTTGAGGCAACTGCCCACGGCCAGGCACCATTTTTATCCACCGCTTCAGCACAAGCAACCAGCGTCAGCCTCTTGTCCCTTCGCCCACTTCTGGGCCCTATTCGCTCCCCTTCACGCCTCAACCGACTCCCACGCCATGCCTAAAGTCGGCATTCGGTTGGGCTGGCGTCTGCTAGTATGTACATTTCATCTATTTTCCCGTTTGTTTGTTGTCTTGTCTATCGGTGCCTGTCCGTCTGTGAGGATTTGCAAGTCTGTTTGTAGGGCTTCTTGGCTGGGCTATTTATTTCCTCATAACTGACAGTTGCCATGACCAGGTGCTGTGGTCTCTGGGCTCAGTGACTGATTGGGATCTCTCATGATGATGGTCAGACGGGTCTCGGAAATGCCAAGATGTACTGATTGGGCCTCTAGTCCGGCCAAGTTGAGGGCGAGGGGACCAGTCGACCCGGTTGACCCGGTCGACCCGACTACGCTTCTATCGTCTTCCCTCCGGCAGCACCATCACAATTGCCCTCACGGACAGGCTTTCATCTCTTCGCTTCATCTGTAGCTCCATACACACACACACACATGCACATACACATCGTCCAATGTCCGCTGGAGCCACGAACAATGACACGTGGGGACGAAGACGAGTTGTGACTCGTGAGCCGGTTGCCGAGTCCTGGACCGATGGACTTTCGGGTGGCTTTCGAACTCACACCGTCAGTTCGGCTGTTTTGGCCATCCTCTCGAAGGCCGAACAGGTCGTTCTGTTGCCATGTCCTCCATCTGCCAGCTCATCTGCCCATCATCATCACCTGGCTCTGGAGGATTGGTGATTTAAGGACTGATAGTTGAATTTTCTCACAATTAACTGAATTAGGCTTAGGTTGGCTCTCTTATTCACCAGCACTCGTGCTCGCTTGTCGTCACTCCGTTGCTGGTGGTGTTGAATCCTGGGCAAGGTCGAGATTGTACTTCAACCTGAAATTGAAACGCTTTTGGAAGGCAAGGCTAAATTGGACAATTCAACTTTTACAGGTTCTTATTTGAGAAGTGCCCATGGTATCTAAAACTACTCTCGAGCATCTTGACAAAGTTGTTTTGGTTAATCATCTTTAAAATTGTATTTTAATTGAAGGTATGACGACCAGGATGGTGTGGCTTTATGTATGGTCGCGGTCTCCTCTTGTGGTATAAAAGTTGTTTAACTTTGTTTTTGCAACTTGATCATATTAGCAGGAACGCACTTCTTACTGAGTCCATAGTAGGCATGATCGTTTCGAGGGTCAGACCGTAAACTTGGTACATTCTCAGACGTTTTCATTCAAACCCATAACGATGGAAAAAGAGTATTTCTTTTGGAGATCAGCATCTGCCTGAGCCTCATTCATGGCAAGAACTGACCAATTCTCTCAAAATTATTGAGCCGGATTCTTGTATTTTGCATGTCCACTCTCACTTTTACATACACACGCAGACACGCGGCACATGGCGCACGCATCACAACAATGTCGGTGTTAAGGCCTCTAGGAATGAGCATTTTTGAGTAGTATGTTCCGAGTAGTCTCTGTGGGAAGATGTCAGTTTTCAGTGTGCCCGCGAGCTGGTATGACCCGACGTCTACAAATTAGCCAATCAGACGTGGCTATTCGAAGGGTCTCACATGCTCTCTCACTTTTGCTCAACGTTTTGGCGGTGCTCACAAGTGTCAAAATAGGCGGCCGATTGCGCAACCGTTTTCCATTTCGACTCTTCTGCAGCACTGATTTAGCGCATTGCTGCGTTTCGAGTAGACTCGTTCGAGGTGTTGGCCGAAAGAGGAGGGCTTGTGCGAGACAAGGAGGTGGGAGAGCCGAGTCGAGTTGAGAGGGGGGAGAGGCGAGGTGTCTGGTGCACGGGGTTGGGTGGAGCCAGAGGGAAGAGGGAAATAAAAAGCGCCCGCCAGCCGGAGTTGGTGCCGAGGGCGTCTGGCGACTGATGGGGCGGCTTATCGCGATCAAATTTTATTCGATGCTTTTATGTTCCTCTTTGGAGTGGGCAGAAGCTCCACAATCTACGGCATCTGCCAATCTCCAAAGGCATGTAACACCGCGGGCAGACGCAACAATGGCTCTGAAACAGCATCAGTGGCAGTCTTCTTTTTCCCTTCTCTTCTCTCCTGCCAACCACGTCGCTCGACACGGCATCGCAGCGGCTTTCCGCCCCCAGAAGCTGTTTTTGCCAAATGCTCCTAAAGCCTACCTGTTGGAGTGTATGT